GAATTATTATGGCAATAGTGACTCATTATGACTTAAAGCTACATCATATAGATGTCAAAATAGCTTTTATTAATAAAAATTTAGAGAAAGAAATTTACATGGACCAACCCTAAGGTTTTTCAATTAAAGAAAAGGAATACATGGTATGTAAACTTAAGAAGTTTATATATGGACTTAAACAAGCTTCCCGACAATGGTATCTTAAGTTCAATGATACTATTACTTTATATGTATTTAAGTAAAATATTATTGATCGGTGTATATATCTAAAGGTCAGTAAGAGTAAGTTTATACTTTTAATTTTGTATGTGGATGATATTTTACTTGCTACTAATGATCTTGGCTTATTACATGAGATCAAGAAATTTCTCTCTAAGAATTTTGAAATGAAAAATATGGGTGAGGCATTCTATGTAATTGGAATTGAAATATTCCATAATATATCACAAGGAATTATTAGAATTGTTTCTGAAACATATATTAATAAAATTTTAGAGAGATTTAAAATGGAAAAATGCTTTATAAATGTAGTTCTAATTAAAAAAGAGGTAAATTGAGCCTTATGCAATGCCCAAAGAATGAATTGGAATATAAACAAATGGAACAAAGTCCTTTTGCATCTATTGTTGAAAGCTTGATGTATGCCCAAACTTATATCAGATCAGACATTAGTTTTTGTGTTAAAATGCTAGGCATGTATCAAAATAATCTAGGATTAGATCATTGGAGGGCTACAAAGAATGTATTAAAATACTTGCAAGGAATGAAAGATCACATGCTCACTTATAGGAGATCTGATCATCTTGAGGTGAAAGGATATTCATATTCAAATTTTGTTGGGTGTGTGGATACCAGAAAATCACATTTGGCTATTTGTTTCTTTTAATTGGTGAATCTATCTCACGAAAAAGTGTGAAGCAGTGTGTCATTTCCGCATGCATTATGGAAGTTGAGTTTATGGCATGCTTTAAGGCCACTGCTCATGGTTTATGGTTGCGAAACTTTATTTTAGGACTTGAAATTGTCGATAGTATTACCAAGCCACCAAAAATTTATTTTGATAATGTTGTAACAGTCTTCTTTTCTAAAAATGACAAGTATTCAAAATGTGCTAAATACATAAAATGACATACTTTATTGTTAAAGAAGAAGTCTATAAAGAAATAATGTCAATTTAACACATTAGCACCTATCTTATAGTTGCAGATTCATTAACAATAGGTTTGCCACCAAAGACATTTAACAAACATGTCGAAAGAATGAGCATTATTGAAAACAATTATCGACATTATGATAAAATTTTATGTTCTTTATGAATTTGACACTGTGAAGCTGTTTTAAGTATTGTTTTTAACATATTAATGCATCATGTTCCATTATATTAGTTTATATACATAATTGAATTATGAAATATGAACATGATTTGTCTCTAACGAAGACATTATTGTTAGAACATTATGACATCTCTTATTAAAGGTCATGTTGAGCATAGAGCTAATAATGTGATACATAGAAGGAATTGTGTCGAGTTAATGACATACAACCATTATGATCCTTGTTAGTTTTTACGTAATGATGATTATGATTTGATCAACTTAAGAAATGACTTAACTTATATTCTGTGTATTATGTTTATTATTAAACCATAAAGTTTAATAATATCACATAGGCCAAGTGGGAGAATATATATTATTGTGGCCTACTTGTTATTATATAACTTAAGTAAATAACTTTTTATTTGTGGTTTAATAATTTAGTTAATAAGTTAAGTAATTATGGTTTTCATTAATATTGTTATCGATGCTCATTTTGATCAATGCAAATAAAAGAAATATTTTTTTTATTGTAAATGCATACGTTGATGGAATGTATAAATAAAGATAATTAAAAGTTAAAGAAATGTTTCTCTCTCAGTTTATAAAATAATGCTTTCTATTTATCAAGAAAGTAAGTAAAAGATTAAAAGGTCAAGGGAGAGAAACAAAAAAAAAAAAATTATAGAACATTTTATTAAAAGAAGTTATAATGGATCAAGGTATGATTTTTCTTTAATTAGGAAATTATGAAAATCATCTTGTTCTAAGACCTTGGACATTAAAATTATGCAAATTGAGATTCAATTTGCATAACAAAAAAAATCTAACATAATTAGGATTATAAAATAAAATAAATTATATATTAAACAATTTTTGTGGAAAGCAAAGGACAAAACTGAATTTGACTTTAAAGTATAAGGTAATGAAAAATTTTTTAAAGTATATAGCTTGAACCTTTATTTGAGTTTTAATGCATATATTAATTATCATATCTCCCTAAATTGCATGACTTTCAATATGATTTTGGAAAAATTTTATTTCTTGAAAAAAAAAGTGAATAGAATGGACTAATAAAGGATTATAAATGAAAATAATGAAATCAAATAAAGATATCTAATAAATTAAGAAAATAAACAAAACTAAATCCATTTTTATCTTACAACAAATAAACTTTAAAAAATAAACATATCAATCTAATTGTCAAATCTTTTTTCTAATATGCCCTTCAGTTAGGTTGTAATTGACAACATCTCTTTAATGTTTCCTTTAATTGTATTGAATATAGTATTTAGATTTTTTTTTTCTCTATGTTGTTCTTGGAAAGTCAAGAATCAACGTTTTTTTTTTTAATTTTTTAGAAAACTAAATTTTTAAAAATTTTTTATTTATAATGTTTTTGTTATCTTTATATTAAATAAAAATTGGACAATGAAAATGAAAGAAACAGTATGTAGTTTTTTTTTTCTATTACTATTACTATTACTATTTTTTATTTTTAATAATTGATTTTTTTAATTAACATTTATATCAGTTCATAATTATCTTAATTTTGATAAATCAATATAAATTTATGTTATAAACTAACTATTATATATTATATATATATATATCATACACATAAATTAAATAATATTAAATAAATAAATAATTTTAATCTCTGCATTGCACTAGTTACAAACTAGTTCCATTATATTACGAGATATTCTCATCACTTGACCTCTACAATTGGGTTTTAATTATTTAGAGAATAATCCGGATCTCTACAAGCACACAAAAGTTTGATAGATAGGCTAATTTTCAATTTAGGGTTTATTTGGATGATGCTGAAATTAATTTTAATAAGATTGAAAATAGCAGTAACAATAAAATTAGATATGCTAATGGTAATATTAAAATTAACATTAAAACATTATCTGCCCTATAATTCAATTATTACTGAATTCTTTCTTTTCCAATTAGAGAATAACTGATGACAACTCTATACTGCAAGATAATATCTAACTACATCTCACAATACAATTAATTCCTAAAAAGGATCGGATTCCCAAACTAACCTTTAAGGAGCGTTTGGTTAATAAATTCTTAAATTTCAAGAAGAAAAATGATTTAAAAGGAAAATGATGTTCACAGAGAATGTGTGGTTCTTGGATTTTGTTGACTTACAAAAGATTATCTAATAAAGCCTTTTATTTTATTATTTTTTGATAACACGTGATATTCATAATACTGATATGTAAATAACATGTGTTACATAAACAATACATTATTTTTGTTGAAACTAAATAATTTTTTAAAAAATAATTTTTTATATTTTTAACAAATATAATCATACAATTCTAATTACTATCATAACATTAATTGTTTCTACATATAGAAAATATGCAAATTGACATTTACGATAAGGTCAATATGAAGGTTGGAAAGAGATGATAAATCTCCCTCCCGAAGGTTTCCAAGAGCATAGCTCTATAAATAAATTTTATGTATAATAATATTAAGTAAATGTATTTTAGATTTTATATATAATAATATTATGTCAAGATATTTTATGTTTTATTTTTTAAAAAATTTTCAACAAAAAACTGTATTTTTTATTTTAGAAAAGTCGATTTTTTAACAAAAGGCTACATTTTTATTTTAGAAATGTCATTTTTATTGAATGCTAGAAAATATATTTTTTCATATTTTCATCAAAAACTATATATTTTTTTAAAACGTTATCTTTATTGAGTTTTAAAAATACAATTTTTCACGTTTTTAACCAAAACTACGTTTTTAACTTTTTATCTTAAAAATATTGTCTTTTTAATGAACACTGCATTTTTTTTTATTATTTTATCTTTGTTAAATTCTAAAAAATATTTTTTTTCATGTTTTTAACAAATATTGTGTTTTTATTTTGAAAACATCATTTTTTCAACAAAAATCTCATTTTTTTTTAATTTTAAAAACATTGTCTTTATTAAATTTTGGAATTTTTTTTTTCAACACTGCATTTTTTTTTATTATTTTATCTTTGTTAAATTCTAAAAAATATTTTTTTCATGTTTTTAACAAATATTGTGTTTTTATTTTGAAAACATCATTTTTTCAACAAAAATCTCATTTTTTTTTTAATTTTAAAAACATTGTCTTTATTAAATTTTGGAATTTTTTTTTCATGTTTATAGCAAAATTATCTTTAAAATGTTATCTTTTCAATAAAAATTGTATTCTTTATATTAAAAATGTTATATTTATTAAATTCTAAAAAATAAATTTTTTTTCATATTTTTAATAAAAATCATGTTTTTTTTATCTTAGAAACATTATTTTTATTGAATTATGAAAAAAAAATTTCATCTTTTCAACAAAAATTATATTTTTAATTATAATTTTTGTGAGGATTTATATAATACTACGTTAAAAATATGATACTTGTCTAAATATATTAAAAATTTATTTTCATAATATTTTATAAAAAAATTACTATATCTTTAAAGTAAATAATTTTGTTTATATAATATGAAAATACAATTGAAGATAAATGAAGACAAAATTTCACTTTTCTTTCATTACCTTAAAAAATCTTTTTGATTTTCCTTACTTTATCACTTTTTGACAGTGATGGGAATCTTAAAAATTCCAATAATTACATTCCCATAAATAAAATTACAAAAAATAAGATTCTAAAAAAAAAAATTTACTTTTCCCGACCAAACGCCCACCTAATCTTTGGCTAACAGGAAACGCAGAAATAGCTAACACCTTTCCTAATCCTCTTCAGCTAAGCAACCACCTAAACCCTTTTCTTAGGTAGAGACATGGACCTAAACTAATACTATTTTTCACTTCGTTTGCTCTTTTTTAAACTACTATTTAGTATTTATTAGGAAAATTGCACACCCGCAAACTAAAATCCCTATGTAGTATTTATTACGAAGATTGCTCTTTGAAAAACACAAATTAAATTCCCTTGTTTGTATCATGTAACAGCTAGCAATTGTTATCTCATCTGGTCAGATACTCTTTTTTTGGCCGGATACATTCGGAAACTAAAAGAGAATATTTTACTTACAATTATTTTTATCATAATACTTGCTATAATACTACAATTATTTAATCATAATAAAAAATTATGTACAAATCCACCAGTCCACTTATTTAAGTATAGAGTCCATATGAAATTTTGATGAACCTTACACATTTTTGAATTGAGATTGGATTAATTATATTACAATAATTAAAGGTGATATGCTCCCAAACTAAAACTAAAAGGTGATTCTCAACTCCTGCTTCAAATCTGAGGAAAAGGAAAACTTTGACTCTTAGCTATCATCAGCGTAAGTTGCAAATCAAACATGCATGTACATGGAAGCTTTTTCTCTTCCAATGCAAGAAACGCCACAACAACCATTATAGGCCTAAACTAGTTTTATTTACTATAACTAACGTTTTTGAGATTTTAGTTGATTTGATATGGCATAAAATTATGATTTTGGTGTAAAGAAAGAATAAGAAAGGTACTAAAGTGAGTGATCAAAAAGCCTAAAACACGAATCCATCTTCCCAAAAATGGATTCCTTTATGAATCTATGCGAAGAGCTTTCCTTACACAAAATTCATGACAACTCTATATCAACAAGTACTCCTTCCGATACTCGCGCACTATGACAGGAACACTTGTGGGAGGTATCTGCGACAAACAATATATGAGTTAAAATTCTACTACTGCAAGTAACTTCAAGCAAGCTCTTCTTAAGCATCTAAAGCATTTAATCCTATCAAGCGAGAGAAGAGTAAATTATAAACAAAGCGTAATCCAAGACTCACCATGCCATAATCTGTGACAATCATAGAGATGTAATCTGAAGGAGTAGCATCATATCTGTTGGGGATCACACCAAGGTAAGAGGATTCAGAATTTATTATTTAGAGATCATTAAAACTAATCTCTTCTTTCTTTAGACATGAGACATCTAAAAGCTTACTTTAAATTAAGAAGTTCAAGGTTTTCCTTCTGTTTATCAGTCAAAGAATCCAAATAACTCACGTCCACACTTCCAGGGACCTTTGCTATGGCATCTGGGTCACCTGCAAGAGATTCCAGAAGGCCCAAGTTTTCTACTTCAGAAAGAAATATACCTAAAGAAAAAATATACCTAAAGAAAAAGAAAGGAAGTGACAACCCCCCTCTCAGGAGGAGATTGCAAGTCCAGAGTCCAAACCATTTTTTACTTCGAAAATATATATATATATATATATATATTTTGGGAGTGAATGGGCTCCAGGTGTGGGGGAGAGGATTGAACCAACATACCTAGCTCATTAAAGCAGATTGAATCAAGCTGCACCCTTTCATGAAATTTATATGCTTCACAACAGATCAAAACTGGAACATGGAATGCATAAGCAACCATAGCAACAGATGCAGTCCCAACCCTTGAATATACGGTTCCATTCGATAATATTGAAGAAGCCCCAAGAAAAACTCGTGTGACTTCATGCATGATATAAGAAATAGCATTTATCTGAGTATATGTACAACTCAGGCCCTTTGCCACCAGCCTACGAAGTAGCTTTTGGCCTTCAAGCATGGGACGTGAGTCTACCACCACAACACGGAACTGTTTCCCCAGCTCATGGGCATATAAAAGAATCATTTCAACAACACATGATGATCCATATGTCATAAGAACATCGCCATCTCTGATCTTTGTAGCAGCATGTCTAACTATTACCTGATCAGCAAGCACTATCTTCTCATTTATGAAACGATCAATGTCAGAACAAAGGGCTGCTTTTGCTTCTGATTCAGAAAGAGTTAGTGGTAACTTGGTGACACGATTCTTCAGAAACCTGATTGCATTTCCCATGCTCATAGAAAGTGGGCGGCATTCAATCAGAAAAGACACAAAACCACCAATTTTGGAAGTTAAATCTCTGATGAGGGTCTTTTGTGGTGGTGTAGAATAGTCTCTGATAGCTTGCTGAAATGCCTGCAGCATTGCAATACAACGAGCATTACCTCCTGATAAATCTCCAGTCAAATACTGCAATCCAACCTGGCAATTTCATATAAGACACCATTATAAGGAACTTGAGGTTTCTCTTTATTAATGTAAAAGTAAAAGAAAAATATGTTTTACCTACCTTTCAAAATAAATGGACGCCAAAGTAATTCATACACCATCTTAGTCAGTATAAACAATAAATACCATGTGCCCTCATTCTGATTCCTTTTCCTAAAGCATATGCTCACACCAACTAGTGCACTAAAATTTAACAGAATTGTTTTAATAAAATCTTTAAAGGTTTGAGAAAAACAGCAAGAAAGATAATAAGAAGTTCATGAAAGCTGAGCAAAGAAAAAAGTTCATGTAGCAATCTCAACTATGGATTTGCATAGTTGAGGCAATCATTCTCCTGGATATTTACTTTGTGTCAATTTTTAAAGGGCGAAACCTCTGCTATACCCTCCCTTATTAAGTTTTCCTTTTTCTCAACTGACATTAAAGGAGTTATTTTGTGATGAACCACTATAATGCCATCCACTAAACATGTATCAGGCAATAGAAAAAGGGAATTACGTGGTATAAAAGCTAAAAAACAGCATTAGAGAAAGTAAAAGTTAAATTGCACAACCAACTAATCTATGAGGGCCTCATTCATAACCTTTTCTTTCCAGTATCAGCATATAGGAAGAACGTGAATAACCATGTTTCGTTTCAGTAGTTGAGATAGCAATAAATAAGCTCAACTGTTAACCAACCACAACAAGCTACTAAATAGAGTACCTTGTAAACAGCAGGATGCTTATCATGAAGTTCAAAAAATTTAGACTCCAAATGAGGAAGCTGAGTCCCATCTTTGTGTGGAGGCAGATGGCGAAACAGTTCGACTCTATTCCTAGTTTCAGGTTGATTCAACACAGATCGCTTTTTAGCCTTCCCCACACGACTCTCATCATCAAATTGCATACGTGGAGGAGGAACATCTTTCTTCCTCTCTTTCTCTGCTGGGTGATCAACTCCTATTCTTTCAGAAGCTGCAATGGAAGCTGCAACTGGAGGACCATCTTTCTTTTGTGGTGGCTGCTTCACAGGTTTAGAAGAAGCTGCTCCTCCAGGTGTACCAGATTTATTTGCCTCAGCTATAAAATTAAAATTCAAAGCTACTTAGTGCTGAGGACAAAGCTAACAATTATGTGCTAATAGAAAACCAAGTTAAATTGGTCAGAGCAAGTTTAAAAATAAAAAATTAACTAAAAAGGAAAAACTAATGTTTCATCAAAATCTAAAACACCATTGCTTATGTTATTTGGAGGGGGTAAAAGGACAAATCTGAACAAAGGAGATGTTAACATGCTTCAACAAGCTATTCAATGTAATAGAGGTGGAAACTAGAAATCACCTGAGCTGCTTGCAAACTATTCAAGCTTGGTTAATTAGATTGGAAAATAAGTCAAGCTTGAGTTTGATGATGAACTCACTTATGATAGGTATTTCTCTTTCAATCACATTCAAAATCGATTAATTTAAGGAAAGATGAAAACTAGCAACTGATTGCAAAATGTACCTAAGAAAATTATATATATTAATTGTTCTATAAAAATAATATGGTGTTTGTAATTTGAAACATAATTATAAAAAGATAAATAATTATTGTATTTCATAATTGTATGTTAATCATGACACCTTGCATATCACCGTCGAGCCACATTCTACTTTCCATATATCCTTACTGCATTTCTTAAACCTCTTTTCAATTTCCAATCTTCCTCTCTAGTGTTACCCAATTCCACCATCACTTTTGCAATGTTATTACTAATATGTGAAACTAATCTCCTTTGGGATGAAATGGACAACCAGTTAACCACTTCAAATTATATCTTCCATTTTAGACACTAAAACAAAAGTGCATGTTTGGACACATTTGCAGACATATTTCACAATCAATTCAAGTAAATTAGCAATACTTAAAAGATTCCCCTAGTCACCAGAAATAAAGAAAACGCCGTTTTGAACCTTTAGAAGCAGCTTTCGCAGCCCGTTGAGACTCCTGCAGGGCGCGTCTCTCAGCTTTGGTTGTTTTCGCTTTTAAAGGCTTTGAACTTGATGCTTGTTCCTTTTGCAATTCACTTTTTTCTGCAAGAAAATTTTCTTTCGGAAACCTCACTTATTTTAATTACTTAAATATTATTTTTAAAAAAATTATTACCAGGCAGTTGATTCTTAGCTTCCACTCCAGCAACACTTTCTGGTTGCTTAGCTGGAGACAAATCGAAACCGCCTCCGGGAAAACTAGACGCAAATTTCGCGGAATTACTCCTCCGACACCATCCCAACGATGATTCTGTCCCCTCCGAGAACTCTCCGTCGCCGATCCTACTCGGAGGCGGCGACTCCAACCCCAACACCGATTCCGAGGGGTTGTAACTTCCTACAGTCCCATGGTATCCAGCGTTTTCCCGTCCGGGAACTGGCACTGCGGCGGTGCGCCGGCCAAGGTTGTCGGATAGGTGACGTGGCGGCGGGATCATTACAGGAGAGAGGGAGTTGCTGGCAGGAGAACCGGAGAGCGGTGGCGAATTGGAGATTGGGGGGCCTGATTGAGACCGAGTAGGTCCCGGTTGCTGCGGCGGCGCGTTGGGGGTGAAGAAGCCGACTTGGCGGACCCTGGGGACGGCGCTTGTAACACGTCGTGCGTCCATTGAATGTTGCGGTTCGTACGAAATTGCTGATTTTTGTAAAATAGAAAAAAAAAAGTGAGAGAAATCAATGTTAGGGTTTGGAATTCAAGCAAAAATTGAATTGAGAAGAAAACGGATTATTCGACCTTTTATCAAAAAGGGGGAAGTTTTAAATATGTCAATCGCTACAGTTTTAGTGGAGAATATATCCTTATCAGCGTTGTTGCATGACTGTGTGGAAAGTGGCAGCGTCTCTCTTATTACTCTTAATTATAACTATAATTAATTATAATTATAATGTAATATTTGAATTTTAACAAATTTTAATGTAATTTTTAAATTATAAATTTATTAATTCATGTAATATTTAAAAAGTTATTTATATAACATAAATTATTATTTGAAATTAATCACTTTAAAAATAAATATTATATTAATTAATAAATTTATAATTTAAATATTAAATTATAAATTTTTAAAATTTAAATATCACATTAAATATTTTATTATAATGTAACCTTACCTTTTATAAATATTTACAAAACACCAATAAATCCATGTCATCAACTGTGTTTTATAATAAATTATAATTTTTCAAGGATTATGTCAATAAATTAACAATCACATCAATATATTTAGTAAAAAATTCTTAGCATGATTGGAGTAAAATTATTACACTAATTTAGTATAAAGTCTAAATTTTTTATATATTATACCAAAGTGATTAAATCTTAATTTTGTATGAATATAAAGATGATTGCATAATTTAACCAATTAATTTATTATATAATTTTAAAAATAAATTATATTGTACTAAGAATACTATTTAATCTTTTTATTTAAATAAAAAAATCCTCTTAAACTTTTTAAAATAAATTATATTCTATGGATTTACACTGGGGCAACAGGGGCAACTGCCTCAATGAAATCCTAAAACTCTTTTTAAGTATATTATAATATTAGATCAAAGTTTTAATGCTTTCACAATTTGCCCTTACTAAATTGAAAGAGGGAAAATATAAAAGGGAGGGATTTAAAAATATTATAAAGTATAGATGCACTTTAGTAAAAGAAATTGACTCATTAAAAAAAAGTATTATATGTAAATATTAATAAATTTTGATTTATAAATAATTATTTTATGTAAACTTAAGCCACAACTTAGTATTATTTTTCTTTCTTTTACCTCTGACTATTTTCCTCTCCTTCCATTTGTAGACTTTATTTTTTAATTTATATGAAATATCATTCTATTATTGTAAAAATGTCTAAATCAAGTATAAAATGATAACATATTTGTAAAAAAGGGAAAAAAAAAAGCACAAATTAAAGCTAAAATAATCTTATATAGTAAAATATATGGATGAAATGAAACAAGACAAACACTCATGATACAAAAATTCACTTGTAACATATCAAAGTACTTTCTTCTTTTATTGTTTTTCTCTTATATTGATAATGTGGTAAGATGTTTGTTTAATATTATTTAAAATTTTTAATAATATATATTTGATGTAAAATAATGTTGTAGAGATATAATTTAACAAAATCTAAAATTTAGAAAAAAAAAACTAGCATCAATTTTTAAATTATTAAAAAAGTTAAAATATATATATATATATATATATGAAATTAGCATGTCGTTGGTGCTATTTTGTATTTTCATATATTTATCTCATGTTTTATAAATTATAGAGAAATTAATAGTTTTTTATTTAAATTAGTTAAGGACAAATATCATTAGTAAGAAAAAGATAATTTTAAAAGAAATATTCGAAACTGAATAAAGTTATATATCTTTTGATATTGACAATGAAAAAAATCCTACATTTTTTACCTAAGAAAACTATTCAACTCAATCATATAGTACTATTTTTATTTGAAAAATGATAGCATTGTGTGTTTGTATTTAGTTGATATTTAAATTTTCAATGTATTTATATATTATAAGTTTTTATTATATTTGTGTTAATTTTTATTTAATTTTTTTTATATATTTGATGTTGTATGAAATATTTAAAATTTTTTTATTAAAAATCTGTTTAACATTTAGTAACATTATCTTTGCATTAAGTAAAAAATTTTAAGTAAATATATTACATAATAAATTTGTCCCCACTAAGAAAGAAATATTGGATTCGTCATTGCTACTAAGTAGTAGTTCAAGTCAAAATTACAAAAAAAAAAAAAAATTATTGAAGAAAAAAACTTAGAGCAATTTTTTTAATGTTAATGTGACATTTTAAAATATTTAGTGATTGTGAATATAGTATTTTGTCAATTTTGTTAATATGATATTTCAAAATATTCTGTTTTGCAAATTTTGTCTTCTCATTCCAAGTTTTGAACAAAAATTTAAGCTCTAATTATCATTTTGTTTGGTTAATAAAAGAAATTATTATTATTATTATTATTATTATTATTATTATTTATATTAAAAAATTGAACTCAGTTCTTTGAAATGAAAATAGATGCATATACTATTAAGTCAAATATTAAGACGATTGAATAGGCTATAAAAAAAATGTTGTCATATATTTTATCACCTTGTACTCTTGTTTTGACAAAATTTCTAAGATTTTCTAGAAAAGTATGTAATTGGCTTGAAGATGAGGCAAAGTATCCCAAATTTTAACTGACTTTTTTGATGTGGGATGAAAAAGTGATTGTCATAATAAAATGCAAGTTTTGGCTGACAGGAAACCAAATAAATCTGCTACGGAGCTGCTTTCCCTGCTGGACTAGATTGTGGGGATATTAGCATAAGATTTGTCATCTATGGGATAAAGTTGAGCCACTTCTTGGTGATAAAACAGAATGCTTTGATGGTGAAAACACTGGGAATGTGTAAGAGTTTCTTGACCCAAATGTCTTCACTTGCTTGTTAAGTTTAAGTACAGCTATGAACTGTGAAGAAGCTGCATAATATTCCGGGTCAGCATCTTGGTTGCTGCTTCACTTGCAGCTTTCGCTGTTTTCTTGTCAACAGCAAGCGCTTAAAGTAGCAACATACGAGGCTCTCGGGTCAGTTAATGGCTTGGCAATAGGTGGTTTGAGCAAAGTGTTTAAGTTACATATTGTTTTGTTCAATACTATATGTAATTATACATTGTTATTAGTTTTAAGCTATTTTTGGCATTTTTTCATGGTTTTAGCAAAAGATTGCTTAAGCTCCCAAGAAATGGACAGGGCAGCAAGTGCAGATGCTGGCCCAGAAGAGGGGGGGGGGGGGGGGGGGCTGCATTCAAGCATTTCCAATGTGGTTGAGAATACGATGGATACTCTCATAGTGCCTCCTGTATTTGGCTTTATATATATATATATATATGTATATGTATATATATATTATATATATATATATATGTATATATATTTGCTTGGATGGCTGCAAATTTAGTCTCCAAATCTATAGACATCTTCAATTTGCGTATTATCAAGTATTCTTAACAATATAGAGATCATTGTTACACTAGCTAATCAAACTTTACCTCTTTTGTCTCACCTTTGATCATTCTTCTGCATAATGGAGGATGAATTCTCAACTTTTTAAAATTATTATTGGCAATCCTTGATTTCCACTTTCATAGTTACAACATTAATTTCAATTGAACTTCCTTTCTGCTAAGTCGTGAGAGCAATAATATTGAGAACATAAAGTTGAAAATGAACTTAATTAAACACGTCTTGCTGTGCAGGTAAAAAATGAGAATTAAGAGTGTCCTCTCATTCAATCGGGCGACATACAATGGCAATGAATGACTAGTTGGAAAACGAAAGACAGCCTCTAGGTTAAGTAAGCTGCCGAATGTCCAGAAATATAATTAAAAATATGATATACTGCTAAAATTATCATACAATATCAATTTGTCTGTCTTTTTCTCAGGTTAGCATTCTCAAATTTTGAACTGTACATCAATACATAATTTTCATATCATACATACAACAATAAGAGAGAAATAATGAAAATTCAGTTCCATCATGTGGGAGAAGCTAGATTACAAACATACTAATCAGAAAGTCTTCTAGATTGGTGGTAGAAGTCCATCATAGTAATTCTCCTTCTCTTCACTTTTGTTTCTTACCAATACCAGCTGAGGTATTATCTGCAGCTGCTGCGGATGCCAATTCCATCAATCTCTCATAGTCTATCTCAGTTGACTTGTACTTTAACTTGAGACCTCCTTGAGTCCATGACTTAATACAAAGGATTGCTTGTGTGCAATCATGTGGCAGACAAAAACGCTGCTTATCAACCTCATCACCTTTAGTGCAAAATAGTTACTCGGGTTTCACTGAAGTTGCTTGGAGAGCCAAGAAGTCCCTAGCCATCGCAGAGAGCTGAGGGTAGCGGGTACTGTTGGCCTTCCACCACTCCAAAACATCTGTCTTTGCAGGAGCTGGAGACTCGGAGAGATACTGAGTTAGTTCATCAGTGGCATTGCTCATGCTTGCTCTCCGCTTCTTTTGAGCAAAAAGAAACACTTCATCTTCAATATCTTGAGCAGAGTAACCACTTGTCATGGTTGAAAAATGGCTGGTATAATAATTTCTCATGAAGTGGACGCTTGCTTCCACTAGATAGTTTTCCAAGTTCAGACTCTCAGGTATGAGTTCGCATTTAATTCAGGGATCAAGAATGGCTGTCATGTATATAAATATGTTGCAAACCTGGTTGTTGAAACTTATGAGCTTTTTGACCATGTCTTCAGCAGCACTCTTTAGCCAATCAGGTGGTTGACGTGTTGCAATTGTACCAGAAATGTGATCCATGTAGACAATAACCATCCCAATAGTAGACGGGTTGTTTACACATATCTCACTGTTGACTTTGTAGAAGGGCTCCAAGTAATTGTGAACAATATTGACAACATTCTTCTCTGCAGCATTTAGCAGCATTCTACTACCCAGCATCTCCTCATTCTTCCTGACGACAGCATCCATTGACTTCCCAGCCTGCTTCAATATTAAAAACATTGAAATCAAATTTTATCATTAGTCACCAAACACCATGACTGAATTGGCAGAAAAACAGATTATGAATCTCTCATATCTGGTAAGGAGTTCTTCTAGAAAAGAAATAAGTATCTTGTGAACAAGATCAAGCATTTGGTGATTGCCACTCCACCTTGCTGAAGCATCAATCGGAAATTGCCATCTGCCTTCTTAGTAAGCTGTTGTTAATTGAATGAAACCCTCTGAGATATCTAAGGATGTATTTAACTCTTGTACAAATTCCCTGACCTTGGCTATAACAGGTTTTGCTGTTCTTAATGCATCATCTATAATCAAACTCAAAGTACAAGCAGCACAAGGGATATAACAGAAGGGCCCCACTTTCTGACCGCCCAAGTCCTCCTTTAAAGTATGGCAAGCATGTACAGCATTCTGACCGATATCATGGGTGCATGAGAGGACTTTATATTCTACATTGTACATCTTATAGTCTACATTGTACATCTTAAGAACCTTTACCATGGAGTTATATATTTCAGAACTTGTACAAGGGTAATTGACCCGGCATATATCAAGAAACACCTTTTGGAAGGACCAGTTTTCGTCAATCCATTGACATGTGATGCTCATATAAAACATTTGTTCATAGGAAGTCCAGAAACCAAGAGTGACTGAGACCTTGGAAGAAACCTGTTCCAAAGAAACTCTCACATCTTCTTTCATACTCTTGAAAACTTCACGAAATATTGCTTTGTACTTCTCACCTGGCCATAGTTGTATTGATGGATTCAAAAATTTAAAGGAGTTTGCTAACCACTTTTCCTCTAAGGTTGAAGGAGGAAGAGTAGCTAAAATAAGCCATTTAATAAGCAACCAGTTCAGATGATCATAATCAACCTGAGGTGCTTTTCCTTGTGGTTGAGGTCTCTTGATCACAGTGGCGGTGGGCTGTGGTGCTGAACTAGTGACAGCCTCCCCTGACTTATCATAACCAGGATGCCGATTACTAAAGTGTCTTCCTAAACTGCCTTCACAATGAAGGATATCATCAGATGGATTAGATAATATAATGAATGGTCATATTATCATAGCCTAAAACATGCCATAAGCTTGCTAAATGCTACATCCATTGACTCAAATCATCGTGAACAACCATCTGATTACCAAGGTGCCTTCCTAAATTGCCTTCACAATGATGGGGAATCATCAGATCGATAAGATAATTATAATGAGTGGTCATACTATCATAGGCTAAAACATGGCATAAGTTTGCAAAATGCTACATCAATGGAGTCAAACCATGGTAAAAAGCACAAATGTTGTTTTCAGAATAGAAAATTTAATTACAGGAAAACCTAAAGCTCCTAACGAGCACATCATGATAAATAGATAATATGATGCCAATGGATCATTATTCAGTGAGAGCACAAAAAGGTAAAGGAAGAACTGAAGAAAGCCCAGAGGATTTACCTGTTGCAGTTGCAATAGAATAGTTCTGCCCACAAAACTTGCACCTCCTAGTTTTCCCATCAGGAGCTGTCTCAAAATACACGTGGTAAACTGATGTCATTGTCTTCTTCCTGGGTTTTGCCGCAGGGACAACATTTCCTTTTTCTGAAGAACCCAGTCCAATATTTATTGGATCAACATTTGGAATGAGTGCCATATCCATCATGGTTTTGGGTACTATATCTACTGCAAAAGCAACAATTAAAAATTATAGACTCATAAACAAAGCAGTACTGAAGCATTAAATATCCTCAATACTTCCAAGGTAACATGAACCCATAGCGAATTGAAAGCTATTAAATTTAAAATAATTTGCAAGCAAACTGCAACTCAAATGCTCAATATGTGAATGTAAGGTTTCTCTCCTTTTCAATATATCAAAATTTCCATTTCCCCCCTCCTTTTCTATCAATAAGTGAGGAATTCAACAGTCTTACACAAGAATAATATGTGAAGAAATTTATCGTTTGTATAGTTCTAGTTTAACAAGTCATTTATAATTCTATGTAGAAAAAGTTCCCTGTTTAGCTGAATCAAATAAAAAGAAATAGCGAACATAAGAGTTGCTTGAAAATTGACTCAATTTCTTTTCCAGGAACTCATTAAAGATTTGAATCTTACCCTTACACACTATAAAACACATAATCCTACAGTATCCCCATTTCTCATTATCCCCGAAAACCTCACTGTAACCTCCAGAATAAAATTAGATTAAATTTAGAATCAGGTTTTAGGGTTCATATCATGTACAATTATTGAATCCCAACAATCCATAGCGTATGTGCCTACAAGCTACTTATATGATGCCTGCACGGATGCCACAGTCATAAACCATTGAGATTTCGTAATTATTATATACAATTAATTGCAGGTAATATAAACTCCAGTTGGTTAACTTATTTCCAAAAACAATTAACTAAATCCGCGTATTTACATAACCAAAACACAAAACAAAGTTATAAGACGCCACTGTAATGTGAACTAGTCTAATATCTTATCCCAAAGCACATTAACAAGTTTTGATCACAGTGAAGCAACATATATCCAGCTAAATTACTTTAAATAAAAAAGAAAAGAAAACATATAGGGACAAGAAGATACCTTTGTAAGTCTTAAAGGCATTGTTTACACTCCACTCCGTTTGGTTTCCAGCTTTCCTACTAATTCTTGCTGTCTTACACAAATGCAATTTCAAACAAATTAAGATAATTGCAGCTAACCAAAAAGAAAGCTTTATTTCTCAACAAAACAAAATTTAAAAAAAAAAAGAAAAAGTTTACCCCAAAAGTCATAGACAGTGCTGACACCGGAAGAAATTCTGATTCATTTGATATCCAAACCTAACAATTAATACTCTGAAAACAAAAGAACAAGAGATTAGAGGAAGTTTAAAAAAGTGGGTTTCTTTTAGTTTTGAAAGAAAAAGTTCGGGTTAGCGACTAACCTTGGATCAATGAACCTGGGTTCTTGTTCTTCAGTTAGTTCTAAGCTTTGAATTTGCAGAAATCAGAGGTGAAGATGCAAAAGAAGAGGAGCTTAAGGCAGAGAAAAGGGGGAAGAAATGGAGGGAAAAAAAAGAAATCGGCGCTACATCTAAGCTGGATCTAAGCCGATGAAACCAAAGAGAGAAAAAAACAAAATAGTAATTACATGAACAAAATCGAATCAGCTTTAAATTTACAGAGGCGCTGAACGAGTTGAGTCTGCGACTCGGACGCCGATATGTCCAAAATCTAACCCTTTTTTCTTTTGGCTCGGCTGGTTGGTTAGGAAGGGAAACCAACTCGATCGAGCGAGTTTTGGCCATAAAAACCAAAGAAAACATCGAGCGAGTGGCTCTGCACGGATTATGTATCAGACTCAGGTACTAATAGACCGAGCCAGCTTTGGTCTCCTTTTCTTAATGTTCTTTTTATTTATTTATTTTTCTTAATAGTCGGTGATGGGTGGGTGGCTTAAGGTTTGTTGAGCGCCAGGTTGCCCGCCGGGAGCTAACGATAGGTTGAGTTTGGCTCAAATCAAACACCATTTCAAATCAAAGGTTCAAATTCGAAGGTGAGTGTGTAACTCAAAACTTTCACTTTCCTTTCATATAACAAAATATACTATTTATTTATGTTATCATTAATTTTATAAGAGTTAATATTTAATATATTATTAATATAAAATTTCGATTACACAAATGAAGAGGTGACATATATCCTTCAAAATATATTTAAAAATGTTGATGAGGTTCTTTAATATCTTAATTAAAAGAAAGTGAGGTAAAGGTTCAAAGAAAGGTAACTTGAACTTGTAATCAAAAAACACATATAAAGATATAGAATTGTTATTTTGAGGTGCATTCCGATGATCAAGTTAATGGGGTATCTTAAATAAAATAAGGAAGGAATGAAGAAGAAGGTGGTGAAGCGTGTGCATGAAGCTTGAGAAAAAATACGCTTAGTGTAAGGTATGAAAATATTCTATGTACATGAGTTTTTTTATTATTTTATGTATGAGATGATAGTTAGTGATAAGATTAAGATAACTGATAATTAATAGAATGTATATTTAGAGCTTGAAAAAAATCCATATGAATAATTATGAATCATATTTAATTATCTCAAGTAAGGTGTGAACTATATTTAATGGTTTTAGACAAATTAAATGTCAAGTGGTTAGCCACATCAAGGTGTTAATGGGATATTGGGCAAGTCATTCATTTGGTGAAAGGCAAGCCGTTCATTCGGTAGCAAATGATGTGGCAATCTAGGCTTATCTTACCTGGGTGACCCAATGATATAATTGTTGATCAAGCTTTGACTTGGTTGATCGTTGACTAGGTGTCTTGGGCATAACAATTGCCCCCAAGTTTGAGGGAGGGTTATAAAGTGATTGCCCTCAACCGTTATCCAAAACTTGAAAAGGAAAGAAAAAAAAAATTGTTTTGACGAGGAGTCAACTGTAGCTTGGCAAACTTTGTTATGATGATGTGTTCGTTTACAGCTAGAAGAGCATCATTGGTGAGCAGTTGTGCTGAGACCTACTTATAGAGTAAGACGGGTGTGCTTGGTGAAGTTTATTGATTACGTGTCATGCTGGGAAGAAATGGGCATCTCTTGGTGAGCTAGGAAGTTGGCAGAATCACAGCGAATAGTAGGTAAAGACTTTGGAAAAATTTTTGGTGGAATTTTGATACTTGTCTGCGGAGCGCGCGTGATTAAAACATGTGTTGTGGGGTGGTATATGGCATGCACTCATGTTTCTAAATGATACAGCTGAACAGGATCCATGTCGTGCTTGGAACGGAGAGCTGTTTCCTACAATTAATTGTTATAAGTTTTTTAAAATGTATTTTCTTTTTACGAGGGAATGAATGTTTTTATTTTGAAAAATGGTTATAATTTTTTACATGTCGTGTTTGCAGTGGAGAGCTGTTTCCTACAATTAATGGTTATAATTTCTGAAAATGTATCTTTTTTTTTTTTTTACAAAAGAATGAATGTTTTTATTTTGAAAAATGGGTAACTGAAAGATTAGGTTTAAGGGGGGATTAATGTGGGTTATTCATGAATTGGTTAAAACGATTCAAATAAGTACTATTTCAAAAGGTGTCATTTAATGCTTAAGGATTTGAAATTAGTGTCGTTTCACACATGCCTTCTGGTTGTTATAAAAAGGGGACTTAGGAATTTTGAAACTTCACTTTTGCTTATTTACTTTAAAAAAAGTATTGCTTCTATCTTTTATGCTTTTTTGTTCTCTGATTTCTTGTTTTCTTACAACTTTTCAAAGTGTTTTTTTTAGTATTTCTTGCATAAGGTTTTTTTTTTCTCTTTAGTGTTTTTATTTGGATTATATAGGACAAAGAAAGAGATGGCACTAAAAAGAAGAATCCTTAGTGAGAGTTTTAATGAAGAGAACAGGTCTAAGGTTCTAGCCACCAACACAGTGGCCAAAATGGGGAGGGAAACATCGAGAGAGCCCAAGAAAAAGCAGAAGGTAGTCAAAATAGGGGTCATGAGGGCTAGGGCAATTAGGTGGTGAAAGTCGTGGTCACGGCTTAGTTATTAGAGAGGAAGGAGCTTTTGGTACCGATGCAAATGTCCCTGCTACTAGGTAAGGGAGATGTAGGACTAGACAAAGTAAAGGGGGTGGTTGTAGAAAAGCCAAAGGATTTGGTGTTGAGTTCATGGTCACCATATGGGTATGGTTACCGCACCACTTGTGCCATGATGGAACTTGCCTTAAATCTCGTGATGTTCAACTGTATCGATTTGATGTATGATGTCATAACATATAAGTTTGTAAACCTATCATTAGACATAACTAAAAGAGTTATCACCAAATTTTTTTGTCTAGAGGTGATTGACTACTTAAATGAATCTGTTATTTTATAGTCATTATAAGCTTGACCTAAGCTTCTAAAATAACAAGTTTTTAGTTTATGTTTTAGAATAAGGTTCGAGAATTTGATTATATGTGGAGAAGGTTATAGCACTCACATACGCTTGTATAAAGGATAATACCATTTAATTTTAAATTATTATAAAAGTCTTGGTTCTAATAGTCTTCTAAATTTTAACATCTAAATATTAAAATAACTTTTAAGATTTCTCGATCGATCTAGCATAATTTTTTAAAAAATATTTTCTCACTTCAAAAGTATTCAAGAATATCATTTGTTTTTTTTTTTAAAGGCTCTGTCATAGGAAAAAAGTTTAATCATTTACTTTTTATTAGATTTTGCTTTATCGAAAATATATCTAATTCTTCCGTCAATTGGACCTAAATTAGAAATATTTTCTTACTTAAAATTTTTTTAAATAATCATCCATTTACGATTACTAATAATTTCATTATTGGAATTTATTTTTTTATTTTACAAATTTTATTTTTAAATTTTCACAATTTGGACCAAATTTAGAAATATCTTTCTTAGAATTCAATCTTTATTTATTTATCATTTTTTTAATCTTTAGAAAGAAAATAATATGACAATTATTTTTTTGAAGTCTTACCTAAATTCTTCCACTATTTAGGTTAAATTTAGAAAAAAAGCTTTTCACCTAAAAATCTCATAGAAATTCAACAATTTGTGATTTTTTCTTGAGATTTCATATTTTGGATAATTGCTATATCTTTTCACATAAATTTACAAGTTATATTTTTACTTTTTAATTTAGAAAAGAATGTAATTACTTTATTAAAATTTTGTCTAAAGTATTTCACTATTTGAGTCAAATTTAGAGAAATTTCTCACATAAAGATTTCTTATAAAATTTTTCATTTTAAATTTTTAAGAATCTTATCATTGGATAATTATTAATCATTCCCAAAATTTTATTAAGGTTTATTTATGTACAAATTTTTTATTTTCAAAAAATAAATACTAATTATTGTTATTATGATTTTATCTAAATTTTTTCTCAATTTGGGTCAAATATAGAAAAAACCTCTCACTTAAAAATTTCCTAGAAATTAGCTATTTGTAATTTCTAATAATTTCATTTTTGGATAATTATTAGTTATTCTCAAAATTTATTAAAGTTTTATTTTTTATATATATTTTAAAATAACTTCCTCTATTTCCTTAGAAATTTAATTATGCAAAAAAAATCATAAAAAAATAAAAATAAAAATAAAGTACCACAAAATGAAATCGACTCGGCTTAGCAACTAGAGAAGCTTAGTTGTAGGAACATGCATATGGCTAAAACGACTAGGTATCTGGCTTAGCTAAGTTTGGATTATAGTTGCTGGAGACGGATTGTAAAAATGGGTCATAAGTGGATCGGGTCTAAAAATGGGAAAACATGCGGATCCTATAAAATTTTAAATGCTGAAACGACGTTGTTTGGTTGATATATAAGAGGGTGAATTCTTTTCTTTTCCCCTTATAATTGCTTCCACACTCTCTCTTTATCCTTTGTTTTCTCTATTTCTCTCTCTAGTTGGGAAGAATGTTAGTGGTTGGAAACTAGATTTTATCACCAGTTTTGGATTTTTTCCACGAAAAGTCATTGAAAAATTCAAAGTTGTTAGGAAATTCAAACAAAATTTAGGTTTTCCAAAAAATATTCTAGAAAATTACAAAAAATTTACCAAAAAAGAGGCTAATTCAACCTACAATTTCCTGGAGTCCTTCAAAAGCCAAATCAAACTCAAGATTTCCAAAAAAAAAAAAAAAACCTCCTGTTAGAAAATTTTTTTCTCTCAAAATTTTTTTATTGCTCTTATGTACTTTTTGTTTTTGTTGTGTGGTTCAAGTCCGTTTATAGGGGAAAATCCAAGCTCAAATAGTGTTTCAACTAGGATTAAATTCTTCAAAGAGTCTATCCTATCATTAGATTGAGACTAAGTTTTATCTTTAAAAAACCTTTTATTCATTTTCCAAAAATAATAGGAATTATCACCTGATAATCATGATTCAATTTTACCTCCATCATCGACCAATCCTCCTCTAATTAAGTTTCTACCATTTACAAATTTTTCCATTTTTCTTTTGCTCAATCAAATAAAGCAAAATAAAATAAATATCTAAAGATAGATAAACTTACAATTAAAGATAAATCCAAATAAAAAAAAAGAATAATCAAGATAAATATATATGTGGATAAAATAAAAATTATAAAATAATAAAACATAGAAACCTAAAAATAAAATTAAAAATATAAAAATAAATTGGATAACTAGACTTGGATTGGTTTGGGCTCAAACCAAATAGGGTCCAATTGATTTGGGCTCAGACCAAATAGGGTGTTTATAGTTACTTATCTTTACATTTTTTTGTACAATAGAAATTATGCAAAGACAAAACAAACCTATTATGTTGGTTCTACATTATTCACTTTTTTAATTATTATTTTTGTTTTGTTTTTACAATAAACTCATCGAAAATAAAGGCACATAACTTTTAAAAATAAAGGCTTCTCAACAATAGAGACACACAACTTTAAAAAAAATGGCTCATCAATAATAGAGACACAAGTTTTAAAAATAAAAGCTTCTCTATAATAAAGGCACATAACTTTAAAAATAAGAGCTTTTCCATAATAGATGCATAGCTTTAAAAATAAGGCTTTTCCATAATAGAGGCATAACAACTTTAAAAATAAAATCTCATTTATAATAAAGGCATAACAACTTTAAAAATAAGAGCTTGTCCATAATAAAGGCATACAACTTTAAAAATAAGGGCTTTTCTATAATAGAGGCATAACAACTTTAAAAATAAGGGCTTTCCATAATAGATGCACAACAACTTTAAAAATAAAAGCTCTTCTATAATAAAGGCACATAATTTTAAAAATAAAGGCTTCTCCATAATAAAGGCACAACAACTTTAAAAATAAAAAATTTCCTTAATCATGATTGGTTTTCTTGAAATATTCTTCTTTCAAAGTTTAGAATCTTACCTCAAAAGTTTTTTTTTCTCAAATGGGAATTTAATGTTCTTTCACTAAAGAATCTTCATACTTACAGTTTCCACACTAGATCTTACAATATTCCTGTTTCCTAGATTCATGCACTAAACATTCCTAAATACAATGCATGTAGTGCAAATGTCAATCAATGTCTTTTTAATTGTGGTACAGGTTCTTAAGACTCTTTCCTTTAGATTTGAACTCTTTAAGCTTCGAGCAATAAAAAAAAAATTGACTTGGTTCTCAATCATCTCTCTCACTCAATGATAGCACCCATATTTTCCTTTTAAAGAAATCTTTCTTTTTCATTTCCAAATTCAATGTCCTTACCAAGCTTTGAACATTTCATCTTTATCTTTATCACTTCCAATTTTTCCAAGGTAATGTAAAAATCTTTTATGCCAATTCATTTATCAATCATTGTTTCAATTGCAAGATGTAAAATATAATCACACATTTCTTTTATTTCAAGGTATTAAAAAAAAAGAAAAAGAATAGATTGTGAATGAGATATAAATGCATGGAATGAAATGAAATATCTCTTATGTAAAAAGAACAATAGCACAATTCTGGCAACTGAGCAATGTAAAGGGAAAAAATTACAAAGATGGATTATTAGGACAACCATACCCAAAATAAATAATTAGATAATCATGATAACACATCTTGAATTTTTTTAAAAATTTAACCACTTGATGCACTTAACACCTTAGAGCTCCTCAAAATATACTAGCTTTTATATTGGTAAATTCCCAAATAATATTGTATCCTTTTCATCTAAGTAGCTTTTTTAGGTTTTCAACTTAAATGAACCCATTTTTTGACTCAAACCGTTCTTTCAAATTTTTTATTAGAGTCTTTTTTCTTTTTTTTTTC